GCTCACCGAGACGCAGCCACTGCCGTCTGGGGGCCGACTGGCCCACATTTGCTCATTCAGTCAATAATCGTCACTGAAATGTTGGTGACTAAGGATATTCATTTTGGACTAATCAACATTTGGGAGAGGTTCTTCCAACAAACTGCTTTTAGCTGAATTCTTTTTGGCCAAATTGCTTTCAACCGACTTACCTGGAAACCATTAAGACTACCTTCCTGGGATTAACTATTCAGAGAGCAACCCCCCAGTCAGAGCACTGGGGACACACCGGGCTGTGAGTCAGGCCCGCTGCTCTGGGAGAAGGCAACGTGATGTGTCGTGATCACACTGTCTGTTTCTCTACAGAATTTGTGACACTCTGAAGCTTATTTCTGCTTGGGCTCCTCTGAGTCCCAACTGCACTTGGCTAGTCCCTGAAAGGAAGTTTCTGGAAATGAGGGAAGATGTGGGGTTATGTGGGGTTTCTATGTGCCTCCCCCTTATCTACTGCTCAGATGATGTAACACTTACTTGAAGCATGACTGAGGAAATTCCAAAGGAGTAAAGTCTTTTTTTCCTTTTTTTTTTATTATCTTTCTTCGCTCTCCCCCTCTTGGTCCACGAAGAAGCAAGTAATCACATCTAGAAGCTGACAGGCAGCAGGTGACAGAAGAGCCCCGAGGCTGTGAGTCACAGGTGAGTGCAGCTAGCAGGGATGCTACAGGTGTCTAACAAACTCTCCAAATTTCAGGTGGAGAAGGAAGCTTCTCCAGGAGGAAGAACGTGATGCCTTTAGTCTTTAGGAGGACTGAAGAAGTGAGGTGACCTCCACAGGGTAACCCAGCAAATTAGTGACATAGCTGGGCTCGCAACCTGGGACTCCCAGCTCCCCTGACAGTGTTCTTCCTCACGCAGCATTACAAGCAAAACTCACAATACTGAGGGGAAAGGACACGGTGACGTGACAATTTTTCTTTTAAACAGCGACATATACATAATTTCAAACTAGTTAGAAATAAAAATTCTTGCCCGCTCTCCCCACCCTAAGCCTACTGAATCAGAAACTCTGGGAATGGGACCCAGGCATTTACTATTATTTTTTAAAAAGCCCTCCAGGTGATTCCATACATATGAAAAGTTGAGAATCACTGATGTAGGATTCAATTCCTGGTACCATCTATGATTCACTGTAATTCTCTAAATCTCAGTTTCTTTACCTAAAACATACAAACCAAAAAACTTCCACTGTTTTGTTGGTTGAAAAACTACCACACTTAGTGACAAAAAGTACATGAAAGGAGCATAATCACTCAATGCACTTTAGCTGTCATGTCTTTATGGGCATCAGTTAATTCTCTGTCTGTCGAGTCCACGTGCAATTTTTATGCCTACCCTCTGGCCATGTCTACTGGGAGCCTTTGGGGTTCCCAGTGACGTGAACATCATTGGCTGGGAAAAATGAGGGAATGTGCTGGGATTTTTGGCTTTAGATGGTCTAAAAAGGAATGGCCTTCATCTCCCTGTGGCAACAAACTTATGCCTACAAGACAGCACAGTATAACGAACTTGAAAGAATGTATATCTTACTTTAATATCATGAACAGTCCAATTAGCCATACTCAACAGCTTACAAGTAATGATAATCCATAAATAGAAGAAAAACATTCATTCCACGAACATTTACCTAATATGAAAATATTTCTACGACAAAAATCCAAAGATCAAAGAAGACGGCGTTTCTTTTTTTATGACAGGTCATCTTGGTTTATTTCATTTTCAGTTTTACAGAGAGGGTAAATTAAAATAATCCCATTGATAGCTTTAGTCATTGTCACCTTCGCTATGTACTCTTTGTAATGGAATGACAAGGCATAGCAAAGCTTAAATATTCACTATATTAGTTAAAAGATGGAAAGGTTGAAATCTTGCTTTCGCTTAAATTGATTTGTACCATGTTCCTTTTTTTTTAAAAAAACACTTGTATTGTGGAATGGTTCTTGTATAGTAAACTACATATATTTCAGATGTACAATTTGATGAATTTTGATGGATGTACACACCCGTGAAGCCACTGCCACAATCAAGATGGCTAACAAAAGATATTTCTTAAACAACTCTCACAGAATGGGGGAAGTCGAAAGTAGGGCGTGGAATGGGGTGGAATGGGGTGGAGGAAAACGTGCTACACAGGAGGAATAAGCAAAGAGAGACGGAGAGAATCACTTACATCTTAATTTGTCCATGATCTTCCCTCCACACAACGTGGCTAACGCCATTTTGACAGCAAATACTGAAATTTTACCATGGCCTTCCCTGTTTAACAATAACAGAAAAAAAAGAGGTGTCATTTGGAGAACTTCCAGTAATAAGGGATGACATTTCCTGTTCTGCAGAAGTCACAACGACATCGCAGCGGCATGCATTATGTGAACACATCCATTTCAGAAAAGGTTGTGCAGACAGTTCAACACACACTTCTGAAAAACACTCTATTTAATATTTCCTTTTTTCAAGAGACAGCAGAATCTTTACGTTATTCTTTGCACTTGCCTCTTGCTCAAAGTACCAACTGGTAGCCAACGGGCTATATGCTGTTTAACTGTGGATTAAAATGATAGAACATCCTTTTCACTTTGGGTTTCCTAAAATAACTTTAAGCATGATGATTCCACATTCTTTATAATTTATTTAAATGAGCCTTCAGAAAAATCTTTCTTTTTGGTCAGATAATTTCTGAATTTTGTTAGGGGAAATACGGGTTTTTTTTTAATCACACTTTTTTTCAATCACACTTTTTTTCAACCATAATTTCCTAGCCACAAGCCAACTGTCCTTATGTGATACATTTATTTTTCAAAGGGAGTTGGTATTTTAAAGGGGCAAAAAGTAAGCGCTCTTTTGAATAGTTCTCTGACCTAAATGACACCAAAGCTGTCAAATCTTCATTGATTTAAGAAATACAATTAACTGGTCTTTCACCATATGTGATGTAAAGGGCATATTGTAAGCCGTAGAGCATTTCAGATCAATGATTTTTCCAGTTGAAATAAACTGCTTATTCTTATATCCTTGGAACCAGAAAGTGTATCATACATTTCCTCGGTAGTTGCTACTCTTAAGAATGATCAAAAGAAATATTTAAAATAATAATGTAGCTGAAAGATAAGCAGGGTCTTTACTGACAAGGGTTTACTATATGGAATAAATAACTTATATGAATAGAAGTCATATATCTGACATCTTAGAAGAACAAGACATAATAAATTATTGTGCCTTTTTCCTTACTAGACTTCGGAGACAGAAAGCGAGCATTTGCTATTCAACCTTGTTGCTGTCATTCTTAGCATAGTACCTGAAATACAGCTAGCTGGAAAGCAAAACTGACCCAGTCCTATGCTAGGGACTCTCCCATTTATATTTTTAAGCTTAAGCACCAGACTCACATAACCATATTACTGGAAATCTTCACTTGGGTACCCCACATCAAACCAAGTGTGTTCAAAGTGGAATTATCTTTTCAAAGCCCTTTTGTAATTCTCCCACCAACTTACCTACTAACCTCCTCTTCCCGCTACCATCCCTCTTCTGGTTGTCATAATCATCAAGTAACTAGCTACCCAAAAATGAATCCTGGGGAAGGGATCGCCTTTGACTTTTTGCTCTTTCTTAATTCACTACCACCCAAATAAATGTTTGAGTGGCTCAGATAGACCCACCTAGCTGTATACTAAACCCATTTCCTTCTTTCCCTTCTGACTGCCATTGTTTCCATCAGCTCTTGCTTTAACACTCTAATTATTTCTTAAATGACCTCTCTGCCTCCCCACTCATCTCACAGATTTGACCATATTGTAGTCAGCACCCGGTATCCGCGGTTCGGCATCCCTGGATTCAACCAACTGTGCGCGGATACCAGGGGCATCTGGAAGGGACTTGAGCATCCGTGGATTTTGGTGTCAGTAGGGGGTCCTGGAACCAATCCCCTGCGGATACCGAGGGATGGTGGTGTTTCATTATTTAAAACCCTATTGCCTTTGTTTGCCCACAGGATATAGTTCCAGCTTTATCTGTTTTCTCTCATCCCATCTGCTACCATTTCTGCGGCACGCCACATCCCACCCCCGCCCAGTGCTCCTGCCCTTCCCACACGGTCTGTCCAGGACTCTCCCACTTATTCATCAAGTCTCAGCTCAGTATCATCACTAATTCTGCTCCCAAAACGTCCTTCCCTGCAT